CCCTACAAAAAAAAAAATTCCAATCAAACAATTAGTTTTTATCTGATGACTGATGACCTCTGACAATGACCCTGTAAGATGTGGTTGAAGTTGATTGTCGTTTTTTTTGAAAAAATGTTAATTGTATAAATGCATAATGATAAAAGAAAAATACAAAGAGAAAAAGACGTCGATGTCTCAGTTTGTGAAATCCGATCATCGTACCACACCCTCGTACCCAACGACCTCTAAAAGCAGTTCCATGTATATCAGAGGATTCTTTACTTGGTCATCATGATCATCATGAGGTAGACCAGCAGAGCCGTCTCTCTGAAGTCATGTGATCCGCACTCTACTCTGAGTTTCTAACCAAATCCACTGAAAATTATCGAAAGCAGAAGAAGCTGAAGTTTGTTTTATATTGTTATGGACTAAACTTCACAAAAGTTTAAAACGTGACACGTTAAATATCCAGTGTTTTAGAATTGATTTCCATTGATTATATTATCCAATCAGACAAAGGGACAGATTAGAAGGTTTTAGAATTGATTTCCATTAATTAAATTATCCAATCAGACAAAAGTGAATGTTATGTTTTAATGTAAGCCTGAACTCTGTTGTTGTTTATTTCCACCTTTTAAGGGCAGCAGGATGTAAATGTCAGTCGTACATTCCACACAGAGGCGGAGAAGATGGAACTGAGTTGTAAAATTCTCTCTCCACAAACACACGTGTGCTCAGGCTACAGTACAGTCTACAGAACCTCTCTGGTCCTAAAGTACGGCTACAGTAGTTGAAGTACAGCAACACAACAGCTGTGGTTTTCTGTGGCCTGATTGTCACCATGTGTATGTGACACAAAAATGATCCTTCTGTGAAATATAACATTCAAAGTAGAAATATATTCATACAACAGGTTCCTTGGTGTAATTTAAAAAAAATAGATTAACAAAGATCATACACACATGCATATATGTATATATTTATATATATGTATATGACCATATACTGTATATATATATGTAATATACAGTATACTTAACATATAATACATATATACATACATATATATTCATATGTATGTATATATTTTGATACATATACTATATATAAATATATATGTGTGTGTGTGTGTGTATATGATTGTCTTGTACCTTCAGCTAATGCTAGCTTGTGACCTACAATTGTCACATTTGACAGGACACCTCACACGTGACAAATTTAGCTGCTGACTCTTGAATCACTGAATCTGACTTTTTGGTGTGTGTTACATTTTGACCAAACTTGTCATGGAACACAGTTCACACAGCAGTTGAAGCTGAACCCTCACCCCGTTCTCCTCCAGAGCAGCCAGTGGTTTGTTGATGCTGTTCACAAACTTATTGACATGTTCAAAATGTTTGGTCATCTCG